AACGATTAAAACAAATGTGCCTGCATTTATTTAATAATTGAACTGAGACTGAATGACTGTCTATCATTCATTCAAGTATTTTTATCGAGGGTCTTCAGAAAAATGTTAGTTTTTTGTTTTGGGGTCAGTTTCTTTTTAATGGGAACACTTGTTGGCTCTTGGCTTTTGCCTAGATTCTCTTAATGTGGACATTGTCTTTCTGTTTTAGATAATTTCTTGGATTATATTCAAATTGGGTTTATATGCCACCCTTTGCAATATTATTTTCTGTATTCGTGTTTCAAATTAACTGGATATTTTTACCAGGACTTTCTTTTTTACTGCGTGTTTGTTACATTCATTTCGGTCTTCAGTGGTTTATTAACATAGATATAAAAAATCTAGATCATACTTGGATGGTTATATTAACAGATATGTCTATTCGGATCTATATTTTTAAAGACTGCATTTTTCAGTTTTATCATTTCTGTCCTATATTTTTAATTTCTACATTTTATTTCTTGCTTCTCATAATAGTGTTGTGTTGTGCACCTAACACCAAGGCAAATTCCTTGTAAGTCTAAAAACCTACTTGGCAATAAACCTTATTCTGTTTAGTGTTTAGTGAACCCCGTTTTTAGTACAGTGAGATTTTTCTCAAGATTGTGGAAACATTGGCGTCATCATTTATTTGTGACTCAGTGACTGTCATATTATTCTCTGTTTGTCTGTTTTTCTTTTTCTTTATTATTTGTGTTTAATATGGACCTCTTTTGTGTCTGGAATAAAGATTGATTGATTGATTGATTGATTGATTGATTCTGATTCTTGATTCTCAGCGTATTTCTACGTCCATCCACCGGAACCTTTCACTGGGGGTTGAACCGGTTCCGGAAGTAGATCAGCGACGGACTTCCGGCCGCATTGTTGTTGTTCCGCGGATTGTTCCCACCTCCCCGCTGTCAGGTAGTCCGGTCCGCGGAGCAGCTCGCGTTTTTCCGGGCGTAGGCCGAAGCCTTTTCCCCGGTGGGTGAATGGCCGTGGCGGCCTCCAGGGGCCTGGGCCCGGCCTCCAGGGGCCTGGGCCCGGCCTCCCTGTCCCGGTTCCGGGGGGCGCTGGTGGCCGCGGTGCTGGGGGACTGCGTCGGTGGGGAGTTTGAGGGAGCGGAGGAGGTTCCCATGGAGAGCGTCCTGCAGCACCTCAGCAGCCTGGAGGACGAGAGTAAAGGAAACGGTCAGTGGTCCGGCGTAATTTATCTTTTTTTCTTATGCATCTGTGTGTTGTCCCCCCCCCCCTTAATGCTAACACCTTTTAACTCATTGACTGCCAGCCATTTTCAGAACAGAGTCCCATACTGCCAGAGTTTTTTGAGCATTTTGACTGATTTTTCTAGAGCCACAGAATAGTTTGTGCTATGACTATGTAAACGCCGAACACACCAAAAGAAAGAGTAGACTCTCTTCTTTCATCAGGAAAAAAAATGTGTTTCTACCTTATTCCATTCTTCCTGGACGTGCGTCTCACCGGCGACATGTTCTCTCATAGAACCGTTCCCTTTTTCTTATTTGCCTACAGTCTATGCTCATCTCCCATCAAAAGTGGCACTGCCCCCTAGAGGGTCAATTTGTTACTACATACTCTGTCTAGAAGCCTGATATTTACGGACAAGCTTTAGCAGATCGTCCCCCAGACACTCGCGTTGAAAAACATAAAAGACGTCTATAGACGTCTTTGGCAGCCAATGAGTTAAAAGCCTAACCAGGGACGAAGGCTGCAAATTAGCCCATGGCTACAAGCCTTATGTACTTGGACATCGGCCACCTGTTTGGTTGCAATGTTTAATTGTACTGTCCCTGTCAAATAAATAAAATTTCAGGGGCCGAATTCGTTTAAAAGAATCAGACAATTTCACCAATGCACAACAGCCCTGCAGCGTTAAGAAGGTTTTTGATCAAGTCACCTTTAAAACCCTGTCTCAGTGCAATAGTAAAACAGGCCTATAAAGCACATTTGAAGACATTTAAAGCGATTATACAGGGGGGGAAATAAGTATTTGACCCCTTGCTGATTTTGCAGGTTTGACCACTTACAAAGAATGCAACGATCTATAACTTTAATCATATGTACATTCTAACAGTGAAAGACAGAATCCCAAAGAAAATTCCAGAAAATCACATCATATGAATTTATAAAAATTGATAACTATCTGATGAGGAAAAATAGGCATTCTTTGTAAGTGGGCAAACCTGCAAAATCAGCAAGGGGTCAAATACTAATTTCCCCCACTGTATATATATATATATATAAATGACATTTATTCAGCTGCTTCCCCCTGAATGGGATGATTTGGGATGTGTGTTCAGGTGTGCTGGAGTACAGTGATGACACGGCCATGGCGCGCTGCGTGGTCCAGTCCCTGCTGACCCGGGCCGGGTTCGACGAGCAGGACATGGCGCGCAGGTAAATAAACCCCCCCGGCTGCTCCGGGGAATCGAACCCGAACCCGAACCCTCACTAGGGGTGGGACGGTTCACAAAATCCAATTCGGTTCGGTTCGGTTCACGGTTTCGTGGTCACGGTTTTGGGTTCGGTTCGGTACATGTTGATTGTTAGGAAAATCTATTATGTCTTGTATAGTCAGATTAAAACTGAAAGAAAAAAGCAGTCTGACATTTGATACATTATATATATTGTATATACTGTATATATATATATATATAATACATCATTGTGACAGTCTGAGGTTAAAGTAGGTGAGATTCTGCCAGAGAGGAAACAGTGCTAATTCCAACATGTGCTTCCCTCTAAATGCAAACTGGTCCATACAGCAGACCTAGAAACTGCTGCTGGCGGTCTGATTTTTATCGGCTACGCTGCTTCTTCTTCTTCTTGTTTCCTACTGGTGGTGGGCTTTGGGCGCAGTAGCGCCCCCTTCTGCTCTGGAGTGTAAACGCTTCCCTCTGAGAAAAAGGAGCAGCAGGAACCGAACGCAACACACGTGAACCGAACCGAGACAGAACCCAACGGTTCAGACGGTTTTCAGAAACCGTCCCATCCCTAACGTCTATAGACGTCTTTGGCAGCCAATGAGTTAAAAAAAAATTGTACTCGCTGATTTAAACTTGAATCACATATAATCTAACCGTGACAAAAAACAAAACTAACTGAATTCTAATCGTCTGAATTTAATTGAATTTTTAGCAATTCAGGTGAAAGATGGAGATAATCCTAAATACTGTTTTTTGTTTTTTAACTACTTGGAAGAGAGAGAAGGAAGAAGCTTCGCCTTTAACTCATTGACTGCCAGCCATTTTCAGAACAGAGAGTCCCATAATGCAAGAGTTTTTTGAGCATTTTGACTGATTTTTCAAGAGCCACAGAATAGTTTGTGCTATGACTATGTAAACACCGAACACACCAAAAGAAAGAGTAGACTCTCTTCTTTCATCAGGAAAAAAAATGTGTTTCTACCTTATTCCGTTCTTCCTGGACTTGCGTCTCACCGGCGACATGTTCTCTCATAGAACCATTCCCTTTTTCTTATTTGCCTACAGTCTATGCTCATCTCCCATCAAA